TGCGCACCGCGCCGCCGCCGCCGCCCTCCCTCGTTCGCGCGCCTCCAACCCAGAACGACTGAGACCCTGCTCTCGGGAAGCTCGGCGCCTGCGCAGAGTTTACTGCCCCCCCCCCCCCCCCCCCCGGCTCGTTCAGTTCGTGAGCGCGCGCGTGTCCTCTGCGTGTGGGCGGGGCCAGAAATGAATGATTCATAAGGCGGGTCTCGCCATCAGGCCTTAACCTGCTCAGACGTGGAATGTAGCCCTAATCTGTATCATAAATTCAACAAATATTTATTAAACGCCTGCTGTGTACCAAGCCATGTTTTACGCATTGGCATTAAACAAGCTAGACAAAAATCCTTGCCTTCATGGAACTACTTTCCAGCGAAGGGAGACAACAAAATTTTAAGATGTATTTTAAGATGTATTGGGCCAGCCGAGTGGCTCAGTTGGTTAAGAGCTGGCTCAAGATTGTGAGCTCTGAGCAACAGGATCGCCGGTTGGATTCCCGGCCAAGCTGAGCTGCCAACAGCTGCCAACAGGTGGCAGGATGGTTCAGCTAAAAAAAAAAAAAAAAAGAAAAGAAAGAAAGATGTCTATAGTATACACCATTGGAGGTAAATGGAGAAAAATCAAGCATGAGCTGAGAACATTTGAACAAAGACCTGCAGGATTCACGTAAGGGATATGGAAGTTAGGTAAGTTGGAATAGATATTTGCTGCCTGGGAAGATAGAGGATTTTTTGGACATGTCTATCTTCATTCATTCAACAAACATTCATTGAGCACATAATGTATACCAGGAACTGTTGTTGGGCACAGAGGATATAGTGCTGAGCTTGATAAGTGTGACTAGTTCTCACGTGGTTAATATGGGGGTGGGGGAGGTAACAATACATAAGCAAACAAATACAGGTTAATGACATTGCCGCATTAACAGGTATCTCAAATTTAAATACTAAGGCTGAACTCCTGATCACCCCACGGTAACCCCTATCTCAGTGAATGATGCCCCCATCCTTCCAGCTGCACAGGCAACAAACCTTACAGTCATCCTTGACTCCTCTTTGTCTTCACACCCCACATCCAATTCTTCAGGAAATTCTGTCAGTTCCATCTTCAAAGGATATAAAGAATCTACCCACTTTCCCCTGCCCCCATGGCCCCACCCTGATCCCATCCATGCTACACCTTGTCTTAGCCTCCTTACCACTGCCCCCTGCTCCCTCCATCCCTCTTTCCCACAGGAAGCCAGAGGGAGCCTGTGAACACCCAAGTCAAATCAAGTCCCTCCCTCCTCTGTCCAGAGCCCTCCTGTGGCACCACATTCAGAGTACAAGTCAAAGTCAAGAAAAGGAGGAAAGGTTGCAGAAGGAGTCTCCCCTGCCCTGGCCCAGTCCAGCCCAGCCCAGCTCAGGTTTTGAAACAACTGAGACTCTTTCGGCATCAGCCAGACCTACAGGTCTTCTACATTCTGGTCGTCCTGGTCCCCATTTCCTCTCCCAGCTCTCCTCCCACTCTGCCCCTTGCTCTCTGAGCTCCTGCCACTCTGAAGACCTCCTTGCTGTTTCTGGAACACAACAGGCATGCTCCAGCTTCAGGGCCTTTGTACTTGGGGATACCTTGTTACCACTGCTTCCATCACTTTCTTCAGATACTGGATCCCCAGGGCTCACAGTCACCTCTCCTGTAGGTCTCTGTGGCAACATCTCCTCCTCAGTGAGATCTTCCCTGACCACCTTATTTAAAATATTGGGTTGTCAGAAAAGTCATGATGCATTTTTGCAACGAAAAACATAGACAAAATACGTCATGACTTTTCTGACAACCCAATAGCATCCCACACCTTCCCTGCTTTATTTTTTCCAGAGTACTGATCACCATTTACTATATTACGTGATTGATGGATTTATTGTATTTATCTGTCTCCTTCCCAAGAATGTCAACCCACGAGGGTGGGGATCTTTGTTTTGGCCATTGCTGTATCCCTAGTCTCTGGAGCAGCATCTGGCACAAGACAGAAGCTTAAGAAACCCTAGGTGAATGAATGAATGTATTTAAAACCACAGTGAAGAATTTGAATTTGTTATTGAAAAAAGATTGACATATGATGAATTTTATTCTCAATGCAATGGGAAGTTAAGGGAGGATTTTAAGCAGGGCTGGGACCTGATTCAGCTGTTCACGGGGTCCCCCTGTCCACATGTGGGGAACAGACTGTAGAAGGTAGAGTGAGCACAAGGAGACCATTGAAGAGGCTGCTACAATGATCCAAACAAGGGTGACAGGACTGCGGTCTTGGAGGAGAAGGGAGCTGTGGAGGAGGGGCAGTGGGAGGATTTGGGGAAATGGAGCTGACATGACTGTCATGAATTTGATTGGGGGTGGGTGAAGGCAAGAATGAGAAAGAGATAAGACTCAAGACAGTTTCTAGATTTTGGATATGAGCAACAGGGGAGTGTGAAAATCTTTATTGAATTCAGGGAAGGACTTGACGGGAATGGTTGTCAGGGAAGGTAAGAAGTTAAGGGTTTAAGTTAGACCAGAGCAAGAACTGGCCAACAGTATGAAAAGGAGGGGATTGTGTCCGTCAACTACTGGGGATGGCGTAGAACACATTGTTCCTCCAGGTACGGGAGCGGCAAGTATCTCACCCCACCTCTCTCAAAGGCACTGGAAGGGATCCAAAGGCAAGCAAAGGAAGGGGACAGGCCTGGGCAGTAGCCCATTTTCCCAGGGGATGTCAGGACCTGGCCAAAGACTCAGGAGTGTTGGCAGTTTCCAAAGCTGGCCTGGGCTGGGCTGGAGCAGGCAGCCTCTTCCTGCCTGACTTGGCGAACAAACCCAAGACTCTTGTGCTGGGCCTGGTCAGCAGGAAAAGGCTCTCAGGCCAGGGGCCATCTGAGAAACCCAGTGGATACTTAGAAACCTCCCAAACCTATGGCTCAGAAACAAAGCGGATGGTCCTAGGCAATGAGGTTTAAATTAAAGACTCCCTTAGTCAGCTTTGAGGCCACTTCGTGGTCATCTACAGTGTCATAATAAAAGCTGCTGTCTATTGAGCGTCAAGGGACAGCAGGACAAGAGCTCAGCGGGGGCAGATAAAAACCAGAAGGGGCTCTGAATGAAGGGGTACGGCCAGTGGGCCCTGGCTTTAGGTTCACCATTTCCACACTCCTTAAAATTCTCAAGACTTCAGTCAGAACTGATTAAGCGCTATGTCCCATTATTAATGCTACTTAGGCGAAACAGAGGGCTGTGTCCTCCCAGGGTTGGGAATGTGAATAGATACTGGGATATCTAGACTATGACTATGGAAGCAGCTGGAACAGCAGCCCCGAGCCTGAGCGAACAAGACAGGTGACAAGTTCATGATCTCTTACAGCGCGCCAAAATGCTCTGAAGACTTCATGTGCATTAACTCACAGCAACTACTGAAGTGGGCACTCACAGCTGTAAGGCTGGGTTAACAAGCCCAAAGGCCACTAGGCTGGGGTGCGAACTCTTTCTTCAGAGCCAGGCCTCTTAGCTGCTCAAATGATGATCCTCCTGAAGCAAAAGCAGGTCAGCTGAGCATGACAAGACGTGGCTTCCAAAGGAGATACAGGTCATTTCCTCTTCCCTGCAGAGTGCCCATGGCCAGTTGTGCAGGTTGAATCCTGCAGAAGGGCACCTGCCAAGAGGGTGAGTGGCAGTTGTGCTCACCCTGAGGAGGTGCCTTTTACTAATCACACAATCACATCAGTGGGTAGTGGCATCTGTCTTCCCTCCTGCTTCCCCCTTTAGAGCTGGCTCCCTAAGTCCTGAGCTGCAGAAGCACACTTTGTCCCCAGGATTTGGACACACCCTATTTCCTGGCTCCTGCTCAGGTCTGGAACCCAGGGCAAAGGGTATCCGGCCCTGCCCTGGCTCCCCAAGTCTGTGCCCAGAAGGTGGGTGTGAGTGTGGGCCAATCGGAGAATGTTGGCAGGGCTGGCAGCTTGGGCACTGCCATTGCCCTCTCCATAGGCAAAGCCACTGTCATAGAATGAAGAGCCCCCTCAGGGTCCTGCAGGTCCACACCAAGCGCTGTGCATCTATCATGATATTTCATTTCCTCCATTTTCTCCCAAAGGCAGTCACTGCTGTCCCCACCCCCTCTTCCTGCAGATAACAGGCATAGAGGGGAAGACACGTGTCCAAGGTCGTTCTGCCAGGAATAAATACCTCATGTGTAAAATGGGGAAGATAACCAACCCAGCTAAGGATCAAGTGAAACGGGCTAGGCCTTCCTGGCAGGCACAGGTTGGGGATGGGGATGGGGATGGGGGAGCATGGCTTGGCTGAAAATCCAGATTTTTTTGTAAAGTCTCTCCAAACAGAATAGTATTAAGGACTAGTCTGCAACCTTGGGGACAAACTCAGAATTCGGAGTCTGAAATTAACAATGACTCGTTTTCTAAGCGCCAAGAACAGGCTAGGACCTGGTCAGAGATCTTTACTGGCAAGAGTTCATGAATCCCTCATAACTGGCAAGGGTCCACCATTCTCCCTCTTCTAAGGAAACTGAGGAACAGAGGTGGGGTCACTAGACCAATGGTGGAGCAGAAGCCAGGACTGGAGGCAGCCAGAATCCTGCCCCACTCCCCGCTCCAGTCACTGTCCAGGGCCACTAGTGCCAGCATCTGTGAAGCCCAGGGGCAAAGGTGTGCCTCCCCTCACCAGGGACCCAGGGGAATGCTTCTGTTCAGCTTCGTTTTCACAAGCGCAGAAGAGCCCAAGTTACAGCCTGCTGCAGGGCTGAGCTCCTCTCCCATTCAGACTCTCCTCCTTGCTGACTCACCAATGCCTGCCCTGCACTGGTGATGCAACAGGTCAGGGGAATGGAAGGCCAGCTGCTGAGGCCCAGCGGAAAAAAGGAGGTGAAAGTCCTACCATGGGGGAGCCCCAGCACAGGGCCGGCAGAGGGCTGCTCCTGGGCTCCCTCTGGTGGGCGAGGGGCAGAGGCAGGAAGCCAATAACGAGGAGGAGACAGCAAGGCCAAGTCAACAAAGGTTTATTAAACACCTGCCAAGTTACTGGGAAGAGGCCATGATGCTGGACACACCTGTTGAGAAGAGAAGAGGGGACAAGAATCAATGTGGGAAGAATGGGAAATGAACCTCCAGCCACCAGCCACAGCACCCACAATTCTTTAGAGGCAGAATCACAACCCTCTTCTGGGCCCTAGTCCCCCTCACAAAGGCAGTCTGAAGAAGTAGTTAAAAGCCTGGACTCTGGAACAAGGAGGCCTAGGTTCAAATATCAGCTCTGCCACATACCAGGTACAATCAGTTTCTCCACGTGTATGAAACATCTACCCTATAGGATTCCAGGATTAAATGCCGTGCTCAGAACAATGCCTGGCATTATGCTGAGAGTTATTCATTACTACCATAACAAACAATATGTACTATTTGCAAGACACTCTGCGTGCACGCCTGGTATCTATCTCCTCAAGAACCCTTTGCTCCAGTGAACTCTCACACAGAACCCCAACACAATGGGCACATCTCATTTCAAGTGAGGGTCCACAGTCCCCAAGTATGGAGATGACTGCCCACTCAATCTTGTTCCTCAATTAAGCACCAAATTAACTGGTCTGTACTGAGAAGCTACGCTGTACCAACGTGTGTCTTTAATGGCGCCTACCTTGCAGGGTGATGCGAGGACCAAATGACTTAAATGTAAAGAACTACAGTGTTTGTTATAATTACTGGTGCTGTCTTCCCCACTTTTTAGATGAGAAAACTGAGGCACAGAGCAGGAAAATCACTTGCCCAAAGTCACACAGCTACGAAGCAGAGAACCCAGATCCCCAACCAGCTAACCCGACTCCACAGCCTGCACTTTCTGGCGTTCCTCTGTGTTTTAGCAGATGCCAGGGCTGAGGCTCAGGAACCCCAAGGATAAAGGAGACAACGGGACAGAAATCCTGGGACCACTAAGGGTGTGGGGACACCCCACAAGGCCCCCCCAGACCCCAGAAGTCTTACTGAGTGCTGCAGAGCAGGACACAGGGTGTGAAGTTCTAGAGGAGGACATCCAGCACCCCACCATTCCTCCCTGGGCAACAGCCCGTGACAGAAGAGGTCGCTGGAGTCTGGCAGATGCAAATTTCCCAGCCCTGAACCAGAACATATCCACCAGGGTCCTGGGGGGCCCCAGCCGTGGTCTCTGTGGAAGGACACCCCCTTAGCCCCACAGCCTGAGGCCTTGGGCAACCACTCACTGTCAAAGTCGATCTTCTCCACGATGTTCTTGGGCTTAATGCTCTCTTCCTGGCTACAGATGAAGATCTGGCCTGACTCATCAGCGCTCCAGCCGTACTTGCTCATCCACACCTTTAGCTGGCTGTCTGCAGGTGACACAGGCAGCACAGGGACTTCAGTCACCCTGATCCCACAGTACCAGGGAGCCTGGAAGCCAAAGGCCAGGGCACCCTCTGTGTCCAGCTGCTTCAGAAGCCAGCAGTATCTTCTGTCTGGACAGCAGCAGCAACCAGATTGTGGGTCTCCCTGTGGCAGCCCTGAGCTTCTACAGTTCATTCTCCAAATGGCCGCCAGAGGGAGCCTTTTAGCTTTCTCATCCTTACCATCACAGGGCTTTTTGCTTAGCTTCTTTTATTCTATTTACCTCTTTTCTTTCCCAGTACAAATCTTGCTTGGTTCCTAATAACAGCAGTGTATTTACTTATCTGCTTTCTCCCACCACCTCAATGAAATGGTTTCAAAATCATGGTGTCATCATTACTACTAACAATAAGCCTATGGCAGGTTTGAGATTTCTTTGCAGTTCTTTTTTGCCCTTAGAAAATATGCCACTAAGGACCTAGGGCCAGAGGGTGTACTGTTACTTGAAAGAATTCTTTTCTGTGTAACTATCTGATATGTGCTTTTTTTCTTTTAAGGGATTTTTATTGGGGAATTGGGATGGAAACAGTGCTGGGGAACTAAGGGAAGCGGAACAGACAAGTTGCTGTCCTTTCGTTCTTCAGTCTAGTTGTGGAGGACGTTGCTTCACTGGCCCAAGCTGGCACCATCATTGCGCTCTTCCTGGGTGAGGCAGATCAGTCGCCGGCTTTTGGATGGCCGCTCACGCTGGCTGCTGGCCACACACAGTAGCCCACGGCAACCCACTGCAGCAGGGGCTGCAGCCTACCCCGTTGCCGGTGACTCACGGCAGCCCAGCTCCAGGTGGAGCTGTTGTTCAGCATCTTAGCTGTAGAGGGCAGTGTCACTGGCCCTCATCTGTGGGATCCAAACTGGGGCCCTCTGGCGTCCCAAGCCAGTTCTTAACCAACGCGCCACTTGGCCGGTCCGATAACTGCTTTTTTTAATATTCAACTCTAAGGGTTCCTCCATCCACTTATAACTTAATTTCACTTTTAACAATGTAAAGTATCTGATGTAAAACAGTCTAGTGCCTCACACAGAGTGTCCAAAAGTTAGCTTCTACTAAAAAAAACAAACAAAAATACCCACAAAAACCTATCTGGCTCAAAAGGCAAAACTAAGGTATGCAGAGAAATCTCACCCCTCAACCCACTTTCCTATTCTCATTCCCCAACCTGTGCCCCATTTTCCTTACTTTTTTTTTTTTTATACTCCTTCCTATGTTTCTTTTTGCAAAAACGAGCAAATACACACATACACACATTTTTTTTTTTCTTTTTGGAGGGCTCTTGTAAAAACATAGATCTGATCATGTCCCTCCCTGCTCAGAACCCTTCCATGGCTCCATCTCACTCAAGGTCAAGTCCTCAGGAGGCCTTGCTGTATCTGGGCATCCCCTCCCCCACAAACCCACACACCCAGCTCCAGCCACTGGTTGAATGTGACAGGCCCTCTCCTGCCTGAGGATCCTCACGTTTGCTCTGCCCTCAGGCTGCTCGCCTCATTCCAGTGGGAAAACTTCCCTGCCCAGCTCTACAAGATGTTTTGCATGAATTGCCACTGGACATGTACATCTTAATCTGTTATCTGTTATGCTACCTCCATGAGAACCAATCTGAGCCATTCTGTTTTGTTCAGTGCCGTGTCCCCAGGGCCTAGAACAGTATCTGGCACAGAGTAGGCATTCAATAATTTACAAAATAAGTGAATGAATGTCATAGATCTCCACCAAGGAAGGGAATGTCTTATACTGATTCCTTGTTTCCTCCCTGGGCTGAGACTTCAATAATGACCAGGTGAACAGGGATGGGTCCATCGAAGGTGCTGGCTGAGGCCCACTACCCTGACTACCCTCAACCACCTAGACTGGCATTGGGGACCCAGAGAGAGGCTTACCTGTCAGGTCCCCGAGCATCTCGGCCAGCAGCCAGCGATCGATGTGCTGATAAGTGATGCCCACGACATGGCAGATAACTGTGGAGATCAGGGACAAAATTGGTCAAGAGCCGCTCCCCAGGACCCTGCTGCCATTCTCTACCCTTTCCCCCGCAGGGGAGCCCAGGCTCAGAGACGGACTTACATTTCCGGACAGAATCTTCAAAACCAGTTATACCTTCCAAGAGGTCCATGTTTTCATCCAGGGCTTGCTATGAAAGGAATGACAATGTTGACAATATGTTAATAATAATATCAAGAATGCTGATATTAATAGAAGCTAACGCTTGAACATTCACCCCACAGGCCATCCATTCTTCTGTGTGCTACCCTATGGTGTAAGTTACTGTTCTCGTGCCCATTATAGAGATGAAGAAACCAAGGCTCAGGACAGCTAAGTGATTTGCCTCAAAAAAAGAGCTGGGGTTTGAATCTGGAAGGCAGACCCCAGTCCCAAAACAGGGGACAGACATCGATTAGTTAACTGCACTCAATCACCTCCCCTTGGTTCCTGTCTCACTCGGAGAAAAGGCCTACCATGTCCTACCATGGCCCACGAAGCCCCACAGGACCTATCTGTTACCTCTGTGCCCTCGCCTCCTCCCACTCGTCCCCTCACTCCAGCCGCAGGGCCCTCCTTGTTGTTCCTCCATCACACCAGCCACCCGCCCACCTCAGGGCCTTTGCGCTGGCTGTTCGTGCCTGTAATGTGCCTGTAACTCCCCCACGGCTAGCACCCTCACCTCTTCAGGTTTCTGCTCAAATGTCATCATCTCAGCAAGGGCTCCCTCCAACATTAGTGAAGGAGACGAAGAAGCTACAAGGACACTGAGAAGGAACAGCCACTGAGGTGGGAGGAAAGCCAGGAGAGTAGTCCTGGGAGCCGAGTGATGGGAGGGTGTGAGGGAGCAGTGGGTGACCGCCTGTCAGAGGCGGAGGCGCTGGCAGAACAGGTAAGATGGGGCCTGAGGGCTGCCTACTGGATCTAGCAACAGGGAAGTCACTGTTGATCTCAACAAGAGCAGTTTCATGGGAGTGTTTGTGTTGGGGACCAGGTGGAGGGTGGGGCAGAGGGTGGGTCACAACAGCCTGAGTGGAGTGAGTTCAAATGAGCAGGGGGGAGTGAGTACAGGCAGCCTGTCCAGAAGCAAGGTGACCCACAGTCCTGACGTGCCTGAGGTTGAGGGGTTTCCTGGGACGTGATACTTCCAGTTTTAAAACCAGGCAAGACCTAGGCAAACTGAGGCAGTGGGTACCCTGGCCAAGAGCGTGGCTGTAAAGCGGAGCAGAGAAAAGGGGCAGGAGGCAGAGCTGGTGGGAATGTGGAGGTCAGGGAGAGCGCTCTTTCTCAGGCTAGAACAAACTCCAGGGCAGACATGTTCTGTGGTGACAGAAATAATCCAGGAAGGCCACATTTGTTGTTACAAGACAGTAGGGAGAAAAGCAGTTGTGATGCCACTGGTGCGAGGGAAGGGGGTCAGTACACCAGAGGCGGGGCGCCTGAGAGGGGAGGAGGGACCACGCGTCCACTAAAACAGAATAGTGCTCAGTCATCTGCAATGGATGTGTGGGCTGGACCAGAGACATGTGAGAGTTCTGCTTTGGCTGTTCTATTTTCCCACAAAACAAGAAGCCAGATCATAAGTTGAGGTGAGAAGGAAGGGGGCGGGGGAGAAGGTGTGAAGAGCTGGCCAGGAGAGCGGGGAGGGAATAAACTGGAGAGGGAAGCAACAGCGTAGGCCAGGGGGGGCCGAGGGCCATGGGTGTCATGGCTCCAGATGGCCTTTCCTCCAGCGTCACTGATCTTCTCAGATACAGCCGTGTGTGTGTGTGTGTGTGTGTGTGTGTGTGTATAGGGGGGAGCCCCACCTAATTTATGCTAAAGGAGAAAGCAGAACAGAGGACTGGAGCTGCTGGTAAGCCCAAGAATGTCGGGTTGGAGACCTCACCGGGTAAACTGGGAAGCTAGGAGGAAGTGGTCAGGGGGTGGAAACATTTGACATTCAGAGCCACAGAAGGGGGCAATTATTGCTAAAGACAAGTCTAAAGCAGTGGCTCCCGCTTGGGAAGCTGCAGAAGTGGAGGACCAGGCGCCAGTTAGAGCAAGAAAAGGAGAGTTGTTCAGGCGATGGAGGATTTTGCTGGAAGGACAAGTGAGCCATGTGGGCAGACGACAACTTAGGAGTCCTGGCTCTGTGACAGGATGAGAATTCCATGAGATCACGCTCACAAAGCCCCAAGCATGGGGCCCATCGCCACAAATGGCAAAGCCCTGGGCCAACTGGGACAGCCGGTCCCCTGGCCAGCGGCCAATCAATGTGCTTGGTCCTTACTTTTAGCAGTCTGCTCCCCGTGGCTCAGTTCACCCACCCTGGCCCTGGACCCAAAGGAAGTTACCCAGAAGGCCTGGAAGTGGCAGGTCTCCAGCAGGTCTCCAAGGTACAGAATCTGTCGGATCGGTCGTTCTTCTTGCTGGAGGAAGACATGCTAAGGACAGATGGCTGCGGAAGCTGAGTCCTAGACAAGACCTCCCCTCCCACCTCTTTCTATTCACTGCAGCATGAGTTGTAATGGCAAAAGTTGACAGACAACCTAATAATCCAATGATGGGGACAATTACATTAATAATGGCCCATCCACAGAGATTGAGCCAACTTGTATAGAACTGATATAGTGACAAGACACCCTGTGATATGAAAAAAGCAAGACACAGAACAATGTGCATAACAGCCTACCATGTGGGTGAGGGACATATGTGTATATAAACACACACAGCTGTACCTATGTGTCTATAGGCTATCTGTGGAAAGGTCCCCAAGAGTTGTAAACAACTGTTGCCTCCTGGGAGGGGAGCAGGGTGGCTCTGGGATACGAGAAGGAGGAAGCTTTGTTTTTTTCACTGTATACTTCTTTGCTTTTTTTTTTTTAGCTGAGCCATCCTGCCACCTGTTGGAAGCTCAGCGGCAGCTCAGCTCAGGCTGGGAATTGAACCTGCAACCCTATTGCTTAGAGCTCGCACTCTTGAGCAAGCTTTTAACCAACTGAGCCACTCGGCCGGCCCTACTTCTTTGTACTTTTAACAGCATATCATAACGCCTATTTTTTTTAAAGCCACCAGAACAGACCCCTGGAAAAGGGGGACAATCTCTCAGAAGGCAGGCACTCGCATGGACACTCCTGGCAGAGCAGGTGCGGTGAGTAAGCTGCCATTTCTCAGCTTAGCCACTAATGGGCAGGTATGTGCGATACCCTTAGGACTGTGAGCTCTACAAGCAAATGGCCCAGCATGGGGGACTCGGCCGAGTTTCTCAAGTGATCAAAACAGCGGGTGGGGTGGTGGGGTGGGAATCAGTTCACTGATTTTCCCATTAAAGACCAGCACTGTGCCACATAAGCACTGAGACTACATATAATGAAGTTTAGCTGACAATTCATCTTTTCATGGCTCCTGCTTGGTGACCCCTCCTGCCACTCCTGGTTGTCTTTACTCAGATAGGAACCCTCATGGGAATCTTTCTAAAGCCTAAGTCTACCTCCATGACTCTGCAGCTTCAAAGCCTTCTATGGCTTCCCAGGGCCCTTTCTAAGTCTGACCAAATTCTACTTGGAAATCTGCGACACGGCTTATGCCAAACTACNACCAGAGCAGGAAGCCCCATCGCTCACATTAGTCCCCACCGGCTACTGGCAAGGTACCAGCCCCTAATGGCATGCACCACAGACCCCTGTAATCCCCCCCTTTTCTGCCTACCTTCCATTCACGCCTACCATCTTCTGCAGGAAGAACATGGTCTCCACCAAAATTCAGGACACCAAAGGCTGCCGGGCATGCTGTGTGGGTGAGAGAGAACCCCCAGGGTGTGCAGAGAAGGGGCTGAGCCAGGGGCTGGACTTGGGCTGCATCCATCCAAGAGGGTTGCAGAGTTAAGGCAGGGCGTCCTGAGCCCCGGGAAAGATGTGTGGCCTTTTGGGAGGCTAGAAAGGGAAGAGAGGATTGACTCTAACCCATCCTTATCCATCTCTGCAGCGGAGGGCGCGAGCTCCGGGGGCCCATTCCTGTGCGGGGCTTTGGAGACGTCTGTGGTCCTGCTTCAGTGGTACCAGCCCATGAACAAGTTTCTTCTTGTCCGGGTAGGGAGCCTGTTGAGGCTGGCTTCTGTGGAGAGCTCCAAGAAACCCCTCTTCCACTCGAGGCCCCGCCCCAATCTCACCCAAGGTTCCTCCCACCTGCTGTTGGCACTAGAGGCTCCACCTTCTGAGGGCTTCCCAATCCTTGAGCTCCGCCCCTCACCCCTGGCCTAATTATTCTTCAGGCCCTATGCCCCCACCCCAAACCCCCACTCCTGTCTCTAAGGAGAACCCACTCAGGTCCTTTGAGTCCCTGAGGAGACTTTGCTACTTTTGAGGCCACGCCCCCAGAGGGGCCCTGCCTATCAGTTACCAGGGCAGCATGCCCCCAAACGGAAGCCATGCCCACTCTGGGGAAACACAGGTCCATTTCTAAAGCGGCACCACCTCCAGCGGTTCTCAACCTTCCTAATGCCTCGACCCCTTAATACAGTTCCTCATGTTGTGGTGACCCCCAACCGTAAAATTATTTTTGTTGCTACTCTATAACTATAATTTTGCTACTGTTATGAATGGTAATGTAAGTATCTCTTTGTTTTCCTATGGTCTTAGGCGACCCCTGTGAAAGGGTCGTTCAACCCCCAAAGGTGTCATGACCCACAGGTTGAGAACCGCTGAACCCTCTGAGGCTTAACCCCCTGACGCTTCTAGGTGGCACCTCCTAAGACTGAGGGCCCAAAAAATACTTGGGAAGCCCCATGCCCACTCTTCCAAGGCAACGCTCACAGGCCCCGCCCCAAGCCTCTGAGTGCGCCCCTCCCCGTGCGCCCCGCAGCAGGTGCTGTTCCCTCTACCCACGCCTCTGCCTGTGTTCGCGCTGCTGACCGGGCCAGGCTCAGAGCTGCCCGCGGTGTGCATNCCCCCCCTCCATCACCCTCCAAACAGTGACCTTTGGGGTGAAGCCCCAGAAGGGAGGGGGATGTGAGAGGGTCCCAGTCCTTGGCATTGGCTCAAGGATGCTGAGGAGGAATTCAGGAGAATGGAGCCTGTCTGACTGCCAACTTCCCCTTTATAAGGCTCGAGACAAGGTGAAAGGGGACCTGGTGGCATTGAAGATGGTGAAGATGGAGCCTGGTGAGGAGAGGACCCAGGAACTCCTTCCCCACACCCGCACCTCTACCTCCTGGGACACTGGGATTGTCCCCATACTCCCTCCCTGCAGTGGCCTTTTCTCTCCTGCCCCTCCTTGCAGACGACGATGTTTCCACACTTCAGAAGGAAATCCACATTTTGAAAACTTGCCGGCACGCCAACATCGTGGCCTACCATGGGAGTTATCTCTGGTGATAAGCCTCAGACCTGCCCTAGGACCCAGCCCAGCCCTTACCCCAGAACTCCCATTTCTGACCAGAGTACTCCCTAACCTGACCTCCAATCCTGGGCCCCCAGTTTAACTGGGGCATCCCTAACTTGATCCCCAGTCCAAACTCCCACTTTTCTGACCAGAATACCCCCTAATATAACCCCCAACTCAGAACCCCCATTTTTTACCACGGGTCCCCAAAATTGATATCTTTATAGTAACCAAATCTGAAACTAAGTTTCCTAAAACTAATCTTTCATCATCCTGCCGTTCAGGTCCCCCAGTTTCCCTCTCTGCTCTTTCCATATGAACCCCTAAATTCCCTGACCCCCAATTTAATATCCCAGGTGCCCCAATAATGACCTCTGTACCCCAAACCTGGCACCTTGGGCCTCTGTGTCCCCTCCGAACTTCTGCAACCTGTGAGATCTCTGCCCTATTTCCTAGGTTATCGTGGGACAGTAGAGGGTGCCCTGGGTTAGGAGCCCAAAGACCTGGGTTCAAACCCAGTTGATCTTGAACATACATTTCCCCTTTGAGCCTCAACTTCCCCATCTGTAAAATGGAAGTGGGATAATCTCACTCTGGTGGGCAAGGGGAGATAGATGACAGCTGTTACATTAAAGTTCAGAACAAGACAGTGAGCCAGGGACTGTCCTATAACAATTTATTACTATTATTGTTATTACTACTCTTGAACTTTTGTAGGTTGCAGAAGCTCTGGATCTGCATGGAATTCTGTGGGGCTGGTTCTCTCCAGGACATCTACCAAGGTGAGAGGAAGGGCAAGGGGATCCAGGCAGCTTCTACCCCTCCGATCCACCTCTCCTGGTCTCTGTGATTGTGTCTCCTGAGACCATTTTTCTGGTCCGTATTTCATACAGTGAGCCCCTCCTCTGGGCCTGGGTCTGGCCTGGGTGATGCTGGGGATACTGTGGGACTGAGTGGGCCCTGGGACCTGACAGTCCAGCCCAATCTTTCTGCATGCAACAATCCCCTCTACCCATCCCCATCTTCCTCTATGTCTGCATTTTTTCACCGTCTATTCGTGTGTTTGATATTTTTGCATTTTTGGCTATAGTAGATGCCCACATTTTCATTGAATGAGTGAATGAATATCTGATTCCCTCTCTTAGCCTGCTTTTCATGCTCTTGGAGAATTCGATGGTGGGGATGGAGTGGACCCCTGATCACCTCTCAATTTCTGATGCCTGCCTCTGTCTTTGGCCATCTCCCTGTCTCCCTCCAGCCCAACACTTCAAATGTCAGAAAAGAAAGGATTTTATTAAGAAGTCCTCAGGGGGGAAACTGAGGCCCACAGAGAGGAAGTAACTCACACAGCCAGACTCTCAGACCTGGTCTCTGACCACCTCTCTCTGTCATTCCCTCTCCATCCTCTGTATGTCTTTCAATATGTCTGCCTTCCTACTTTTTGGTCTCTTACCATCTCTTTCTCTGTCTCAGTTTGGATCTGGTCCCACTTCTCAGGCTGTCTGTCTCTGGGTATCTCTGCCTTGCTTCGTTTTGCAGAGTCCCATCACCCCCTGCATAGAGCCCTCCCATGGCTTCCATTTCCCTCTAAAGAAAAGCCCTCATCTTGGCCCATGAGTCTGAGCACTGCCGCACCCCAAGCTAAACAACCCCATCTCCTGCCCTGCCTCCACCCAATGTGCTGCTTTCAAAACCCACCAGGCACCTTCCCACCTCCCAGCCTCTGGACAGGATCTTGTCCCTCCTCTGAGTGGGACTGCTCACATCTTCATCCTGTCACTTACTCTGAACGCAGAGTAGCCTTCACTGACCAGCCTGTGTAAAATGTCATAGCCTTCCCACATATGTTTCCTGTCCTCCTTTCTTACTTTGTTTTTCTTATTACGAGCATCTCATGTACTGCATATTTTATTTTTTCTGGTTTACTGTTGGTTTCCCCCCACTGGAATGTTCTCTCCATGAGGGCAGGGATCTGTTGCTCTCATCCAGTGCCTACCACAGTGCCTGGCACACAGTAGATACACAGTAAATATCTGTTGAATGAATTTCTGTCTCCCTCTGGCCTCTGGTTCCCTGCTGATTCTTTCTGTTGCTCAACACCCCTCCATCTCCCCATCTACTTGTCCCATCCTTTATGCCCCTCTGCATGTGGCACCGTCTCAGCTGGTCTGGGTGGGGACCCAGGGCTCCCAGGGCCAGGTTTCCTGGTTCCCAGCCAACGCTGTTCTGGGGTGACCTTTGCAGTGACAGGCTCCCTGTCAGAGCTCCAGATAAGCTATGTCTGCCGAGAAGTGCTCCAGGTGAGTGGAGGTCTGGTTGGCCTGGGTGGGGGNGTCTCTTTGAACACACTTATCCCATCCTTCCTGCCACTTTCTGAAGCAGTTCTGGAAGACCTCTTTCGTGTTTTTAGTTGTGCTGTCGTGGCTGCCTCGATGTCCTGAATTGATTCAAAACGTTTACCTTTCATGGTCATTTTGACTTTAGGGAAGAGCCAGAAGTCGCACGGTGCCAGATCCAGTGAATAAGGCAGATGAGGACACACCGTAATGTTTTTGACAGAAATTGCTGTACCAGCAGTGATGTGTAACATGCAGCCTTCTTCATTGTGATCACAAAATACAGTGAATACTGCTGCCGAGTGCCACCCAATGTAAAGGCAGGGATCTCCAATACGGGAAGCAGTGCGTTGAACCTTAGTGTGTGTCAAGTTTCAACTTGTTCAGTGCAGTCAGTCAGGTGTGAGCTATGGTTGAGAGGTATGTTTTAAAGTGTGCCGTAAATATCCTCCATCATAACAATGCTCTGTGTCACACATCACTTCTGCTATACAGCAATTTCTGTCAAATAAAAACATTACGGTGTATCCTCATCCACCTTATTCACTGGCTCTGTCACCATGTGACTTCTGGCTCTTCCCCAAAGTCAAAGTGATTCAGGACATTAAGGCAGCCATGATAGCACAACTAAAGACACTCAAGAAAGAGGTCTGACTTCCACAACTGCTTCAGAAAGCGGCAAGAACGATGGGATAAGTGTGTTCGAAGCAAGGGGGAGTATTTTGAGGTGGATTAATGGCAATGTGTCTTTTACTAATAAATTTTTAAAAATGTAAACATTCACCGTATTGTTTGATCACACTTCGTACATAGTACACATTAGCAACATCACATTTTGGGGGGAATATTTTTGATCTTCAGTTAGTTGAATCCACAGATGCGGAACCCGTGGATATGGAGGGCCGACTATATGTGTTTTATGTACTAGCCTGTATTTGTGTTTTGTAATTAATTTTTAAAAAACCACCCCTCCTCCTGCCCTTCCGTCCTTGACTTCCTAGTCTTGCATACCAAAAGAAGGCACATCCTGCAAGCTATCCCCAACTCTGGCCCCACCTGGTGTTGGGAGTGGTATCCTGCTAGCCCCTGGCATGAGGATGGAGTTGGAGGCAAACACTCACAGCTTTAGAACAGCCAGGTTGGCTTCCAGATCATAGGCATTCTCCTTGGCCTGTGTCTCCACATAGCGTTCCAGGGTGGCAAGATTCTCAGGATTGTACCTAGAGGAGAGTCAAGATGGGTGAGCAGAGAGGAGACAGGAGAGGAGACCAGTCACTTTACCAGGGCTGGAGGGGGGGAGGAGGGGACAGTAACCTGCTCCTCCCCCCTTGCTTTTAAATTTGGCACTAGTCACTTGCTCTACCTAAGTCTTGAATCAGCTCTACAAACTCTAATAAAATTTATCCACGTCCCAGACCTGAGCCTAAGCTCTAAACTCCATCAAAGCCTTGGATCTGATGCCTAGGATGCCTCCCCAGACTCTCAGACAATCAGTCATTGCAGCCTGTATACCTGGCCTCCTGGAAATCCTTACCCTCCACCCCTTCCTCCTCTCCCCAGGTCCCCACCCTGGTCTAGCCCCATCCTCTCCTCCCTAGCTTCCCCCATCAGAGCCCTGACTGTTCCCAGCTATCAATGTCTATTGTCAGTTTGTCTGGACTCTGAACTGAGAACTCCATGAAAGCATGGCCTGCAGCTGTCTTGGTCACCTCTGATCCCCAGCATTGCCCAGCACTGACAGATTTTAGTGAACACGTGTTGATGAATGACATGAGGGGGAAAGAAGAGATGAAGAGGCACAATGAGAGGCTGAGAAGCAGACAAAGAGGAAACTGAGGAGCTGAATGGCCTTAAGGCAATTAAAGAGGAAGGCTAAGTGGTAGGCAAGGCTAGGTATTTGCAATGCTGTTTCTTTAAACGTCTCCTCCAGGATGATGGGGAAATGCCATCCCAGAGCAAGCCCAGCATTCTGACTACCCCTTGCTGTCTCCAGAAATTCTTTCCTCCACCCCGTTTGGCCAGAAGCGCTCCCTCCGACCGGGCTCAGACCTGTCGATACCCTTGAGCAACTTGCCCACGTTGGCTCGCATCTGTTCAAACATCGCCATGACTGCCGTCGCTTTCCACACCCGGGCTGGAGCCGAATTCCCTGCCGGTGCACCTTCTTCGAGGACCGGAAAAGGAAGAGGCAGCGGAAACGGAAACTACGTCGTTGTTTTCTCTCCAGCCCCAGGGGCGGTGAAGGGGGAGGCTTTTGCGGCGGCTGCCACGTGACTTCTCCCCTACCGGCGCAATTGGCGCGTGCGCATACGCTCCACCTGCGTTGGACCAAGAGCGTAAAAAAAAGTTTAGTTCAGCCCAGTGCGCCGGCGCCTTCGCTGGGCGAGGAGGCGGGGTTCAGCTTTTCCCGGGCTTTGTTCCCGGCTCTCCCGGACTTGTGTTCGCACTCTCGGGAAGATGGGCCTCTGACCGCGTGCGCGCACGTCGCTCTTCGCGCGGCCGTGAACTCACAAAACTGTGCGGGATTGCACGTAGTAGCCCTCCCTTTGAGCCATGGCCAAGTCCCAAGGGAGGTGCTCTCCGAGGGCCCCTTTCCCCCCCGGCCTGAACCCCTGAGGCAGTTTCAAGTCCTGAAACTAGTCCCTATGCTCCACCCTAACACCAGGGGTTGGAGGCCCACAAAGCTGTTGTGCTCTGCCCAGCAAGGGCGGGGCTGAGGAACTCTTAGACCCCGCAGGATTGCACCCAGTCCTCATAGACTCCAGTCTTGTGGGTGAGGGCGAGCATCCCATGTATGCCGTCATAAATTATGTGGGTACAGAGTCTGCACACTGCAGGCGTGAATGCACAAGCATGTGTCCTGCTCTGGGTACATACACGTGTGTATACGAGTATCCAGGCATGTGCACGTCGACTGGTTTGCGCGCTGCACGGGGGTATCACTAAGTGCGTGTATATGGCGCAGATGAACAGCAATGTACATTGCATGGTTATCCCTGTGCAGACCTGCCATCTCTAGGTTGTGGCCAAACCCTCAAAGCACTCAGCAGAGGTTCTACTGTGGTTTTTAGCCACCTCCCAGAGCGGGGGAGGGGGTGCTGAGGCACCCACCAGATCACATTTAATATAGTTTGCATCTGGTTTACATTCAGCCCAGGGCCCTGAAGGTGGAGGGGGTCCCCTGGGTCCCAAGGCAAGCTGCCCCTCACAGGCTCTCAGGGCCCAGGGGATAGGGGGTGGAGCCGGCTGCAGCCGGGCTGGGGCAGGAAGCGAGAGTGGGGAAGGGGGAGGCCACAGCCGGTGGAGGCAAGGCGGGTGCAAGTGCAAGGCAAGGCGGGTGCAGGGCGTGTGGGGAGGGAGGGAGGTGCCTGCACTTGAGCCCTGAGGCCCTGCTGGCCCCTGGGCGCAGGCCCAGCTCCAGCCCCCAGGAATGGACCTCGTGGACCCGGACATCTTTAATAGGGATCCCCGGGACCACTATGACCTGCTGCAGCGACTGGGTGGCGGCACTTATGGGGAAGTCTTCAAGGTGAGGACACCCCCCCCTCCATCACCCTCCAAACAGTGACCTTTGGGGTGAAGCCCCAGAAGGGAGGGGGATGTGAGAGGGTCCCAGTCCTTGGCATTGGCTCAAGGATGCTGAGGAGGAATTCAGGAGAATGGAGCCTGTCTGACTGCCAACTTCCCCTTTATAAGGCTCGAGACAAGGTGAAAGGGGACCTGGTGGCATTGAAGATGGTGAAGATGGAGCCTGGTGAGGAGAGGACCCAGGAACTCCTTCCCCACACCCGCACCTCTACCTCCTGGGACACTGGGATTGTCCCCATACTCCCTCCCTGCAGTGGCCTTTTCTCTCCTGCCCCTCCTTGCAGACGACGATGTTTCCACACTTCAGAAGGAAATCCACATTTTGAAAACTTGCCGGCACGCCAACATCGTGGCCTACCATGGGAGTTATCTCTGGTGATAAGCCTCAGACCTGCCCTAGGACCCAGCCCAGCCCTTACCCCAGAACTCCCATTTCTGACCAGAGTACTCCCTAACCTGACCTCCAATCCTGGGCCCCCAGTTTAACTGGGGCATCCCTAACTTGATCCCCAGTCCAAACTCCCACTTTTCTGACCAGAATACCCCCTAATATAACCCCCAACTCAGAACCCCCATTTTT